ACATTGTGAGAGATCAATCAATCTGATATCACATCCTATAATCAAGAAGTAGCGGTTCACTATAATACCATCTCATCATACTTATGTCATCACTTCAGTACAGTTGAAATCAAGCCCTCATATAAGTAGGAAATACAGCATCAATTTCTTTAAAGATTAACTCTAAAGCATTCTTCATAGCTGCATCTACAGTCAGCACTAGATTTAACAAACAAAACAACATAAAGATATCCACATTGGATTCACTCTGATTCAAAGAAGAGGATTATAAATCAGATTTCATCAACATCATCTATGATCCTGTAACACATAGTAGGTGATTATTATTATCCTTCTTCTTCTTCTTTGAAAAAATCAATGGGAGAATTTTTTTGAAAAATACTATAAATTACTTCAATCAGATTTCCCCTTTAATGTATAACCAAGCCAGGCTGTTCAATCGATTTTGAATTATCAAGACTTGTACTAACCCAAAAATTGAGTGATGGAAATTTCAATGACTCAATTAGTAGTCAAACACTTCATTGCCAATTCACCCCCATATTCAAGTTGTGAATAGAGTAGAAAGTCCTCTACAATACAATCTCCACTCACTTCACCTCAACCTTCTTCACCATATGGCTTTTGGTCAGCTAGTAATCATCATCAGGGACTGTTTGTTAAACACCATAGTCAGTTACAGTACAAGTCAGAAATCATTCAAATTTTGGGGTTAGAACCAGCTTGCATTTGTAATACATGTGTCCTGGTCAATCCAGTTGGATGATTTGAATTCAAATTAACCCAAGATCTTGACTTTATACGAAATTAGTATTAAGATTCTACATTACATCAATTTTTTCTTACAAGTATTTCTCAGCATTATATTTTACCCCAGTCAATCCAACCTGCAAGAAGCCATGTCTGGGGCCCAATAAAGCCAGTTGGGTGGTGTCCTTGACTTTGAAAACATGAACAAGACCACCACTTGGAGTATGTATTCATGAATGCTACCCCAACCAGCCAACCATATCTGATATTTCTATTGATCACAACCCTTTAACTCCCTTGAAACAGTGTACATGTGTGCATACATCAAAGATCACCCAACAGATTTGAAAGGATTTGCAAACTCACTCTGCATTCCACCCAATCAATCCTGCCAGGTCAACATTTTCTGGCTGCTGGTAAATCACACCCAAATTCCACCCCATGATACTTGCTACAAAGTGCATCACCATGACAGGAGTAGAAAATTGACTACAATTTGGGCCTGTGCAAACTAACTTTGAGCTGGGTTCAGATCACACAGTCACACCCATGTAGAACAAGATATTGGAATAGGGCAGTTCAAATACTGCTGATGTTGACCATCAGCAGTCAAACTTTGTTAGATGTCTAATTTAAAGAGTTTAGTTGGAGGCTCCCCTTTGGAGTCGAAATCCCACAATTGAAGTTCAGGAAATTTGTGCATCAGCAAACAAACTATGTTCCAGACCAGCAAGGAATTGGCTGCAAGGTGAACTGCCCTAATACTCACCCCATAGTAGGGGGTTCATGGTTGAAAATTATACAGTTATAGAGTCAAATTTAAGGCATTGATCAACAAACTTTTAGAGATTTGATCAGCTGGGCAGATTCTAGTGTTCCTGAACAATCAGTACAACTCTTTCATTTTTCAAAAATTTGTTGATAAAGACCTTGAAATGGGCATTTAAATTTGGCAAATATCAATCATGAAACCCACTACTACTAAACATGGTGGCAATCCTTGAGCTGGTTTAATTGATCTGCCAAAATCTTGGGGTTTTTTTTTGTTCCATCTATATCCTGACATTGAATCACATTGTGCTTGGTGAAGTACAACTGATCTAGTAGTTATTTGAGTGGAATCCTAGATCATCTTGAGATTACTAAAGAACATTCAGGGTGATTTGACTTTCCTTACTCTCCAGACGTAGGAAGATCTCTTATAAACTGAACCAGAGCCTTCCAGCTGTAGCTGGGTTGAATTCAAGCTTGAAAGACACATTGGATTCTTCATAAACCTGCTCCTAATTTACTTCTTGATCTCTTCCACCTGTTGGCTCTTGAGTGCAAGTTCTAGAGAAGTTGAGTGATAAATCCATGTGTTGAACTTGAATGTCAATCAAGCATATCTTCCAACCATGCATCTTTTTTTGCTTGTTTCCCTTTTATGTGATGCAGGTGAACATTCCATGAGTCACTCTGAGCCGTATGTAGCTCTTGATCTGCCTCTGCCAAGCCTTCCATCCTTATAATGGAGCCATCCATCATAATTCTCATCGCTGCGCCATATCTCTCAGCGCAACATGATTCTAAAATTCTTACGATATGGCCTGATCAGAGCATCTCCAACGGAGCCGCGATCGGGCGTCCGGGGGCGAACTTTGGCAGCCCGCGTGCCAGATTTCCCTTCCAGCGGTCCTGTGAAATGACCCTGGACATACTGCCGGGGGCAGTCAAACCCGCGGTACCCTGCTGACTTCCGCCAGTCACCTCCCAGCCGCAACTCCTTGGTTCCTCCACAACACCACTCGATATGGCGCGCAAAAAAACTAGACAAGATGAAAAACCCGACGAAACCGATTCTTCCAACCACACACCGACACCAACACCAACACCTAGCTCTCCCAAAAATAAAAAGAAACCAAAAAAGAAAGCAAGCGCACCTGCCGATTCAACCCCTATACCGGCAGAAAAATCAAGCATCAACGATGACAACACCCCAAAAGCCCAGAAGGAACCGGAACCAACACCCAAAAAAGGATTCCCTCGCTGGTCGATCGAAGAGGACAAGAAACTCTGTGTTGCTTGGCTGAACACGAGTCGCGACACCATCGTCGGGAAAGGTCAGAAGGCAACCACTTTTTGGGAGCGAATCCACTCGACCCTCTCCGATCTGATCAATGAATACAACGATGAGAAGAAAAAATCGAAGAACTTCAAGCCACTTCCTCTACGACCGGTTGGAGCGGTCGAATGCCGCTGGGGACATATCCTCAAGTGCGTCAACAAGTTTGCTGGCTACTATTCAAACGTCGAACGTCGGTTGAAGAGCGGAAAGACTCGCGATGATATTGTATGTTTTTTTTTTGCCTCAGCCTGTTATGTTTACAGTTTTTTTCTAACATGATATCTGTCTCATGTGTGATTCAGCTTACGGAGGCTAAAGAACTGTATAAGACCACCTCAGGTTCGCCTTTCAATCTTGACCATTGTTGGGGAATCTTGAAAGACACCCCAAAATGGCAGGCTACCCAGAGAGAGAACGAAGCGCGAGCAAAGAAGTCCCAGAGATCCAGTCCGCCTCCACCCTCAACCAACATGTCTAGCTCCACAAACGATGTCTCGAGCCCTACTGCTATCGATGTCGAAGGTGACGAGTCAGAACCCAGTCGATCGGTTCTGGGACAAGTTCGTCTTGAAGGTTCAAAGGCAGCTAAACGAAAACGAGCCGAGGATGCTTCAATCCACAGCATCGTATCCATGCAGAAGGATCTGGTAACGATTTCTCGAGAACGCTTGGCCTCGATGAACGCCGCTAAGGATGATGCGATCATGTCAAAAGATCTTTCCTCGATGGACGATGAGGCCAGAGCTTATTATCAAAGGTCAAAGCGCTTGCATGCGGCCGCACATCCAGAGGCGTACAGAGGCACATCATCCATCGGAGATCGCCTCTTGAAGAATCCAAAACACACGGGATTGCCGGCCTTGTATGCACTCGTGAGGGAGCTTTGTGGGCAACAGCTGTGGGGAGACAACACATCTCAGAGAGATCAGAGAAACTGGCCTGTTGGCCCAGCCTGGGGGATGATAGAACTGCAACTTGAGGGGGGTATGGACGAGATAGCACTAGGGGCAGCCGGGTCTTAATTTTTGGTGTATTGCTGGATGCAGGTGCCCTTGTTGACCGCTTGATGGAGGCCGATTAGAAGAACCATCCACGTTCGAGCTAGTAAATAACTTGAACTAATCACATCGATTCAGACTTCAAGCACATTAATCCCCATCGATGGTAAGCTTGCGCATTTATCTTGATGATGGCTCATGATCATGAGCAGCCTGCAGGTGATAAGCAAGAACCATGTTGATTGGACTCTCTCGGCATCCCTGATCAGCTGCATTAGACTTTCGTTTCCTCAAGTGGCTGCACTAGCAAAACGTTTTGATCACAACCTCCTTCGCCAACATCAGACAAGCATTAAGCTGACCAGATGGATTCTCAATATTGGTTTTTGAAATCCTTGGCCGATTAAACCACATGAACTTCGCGCTCGGAGGAAGCCGAACTGTTTACGTATAGGTGCATAGGAGGATCTGAAGAAGACGAAAAAAATAAAAAATCGTAGGAACGAGAAAAAAAAAGTGAAGCACCCACGTCCTCGCGATTCATGAACCGGATGACGTGCTTGATTGTACATCCTGACCAGCAAGAGTTAAGTGTGGCGACTTTTTCAATCTCCCTTCTCATGAATCAGCAACATCACCACTACATAGTTACCAGTCTGTTGACCACCACCCCCTTCTCCAACCATATCCATCTCGCCCCACTAGTGACCGAGAACGTCAACCACTTCTTGAACTACATAGACCATGCCCACTCATCCCAGGACCTCGATAAACTCATCAAGCTCTCGAGCGGCTCCCTTGGCCATCTCTTTCAACAATAACGAACCAATCGAACAAAACATCAGCTACTCTGCTAATCAAGATGACCTCAGAAAACGATCCAATCAACTGGCTAGGCTCGCACTAAGGGCTGAATCAGCCTCCATTCGATCATCAACACTCACTGATCACTCTTCCTGTTTCGACGACGAGGATGAGGTGGATTACGAGGATGAGGATGAACTAGAGGAAGATGAATATGACCGCTTTGAAGATCCTTCGACCGAGCAAGTCATACAAGCACACCGAAACGGCACTCAATCAAGAACTGATCACCAGAGCCTCAACCAAGAAACCGATTCATCACAGCTGCAGCAACCCTTGGTCAGTACATATATATATAAACACACTTAGCGATCCTATCGAAACCTGTGCTTACTCACTTGCTTTGCTTCTTATGTCCCCTGGTTATATATATATATATACCTTATGGATCAAGTCTACCCAACCCAGCATCAAAGTACAACCACCCGATGAACGTAGTCCGTTCTATTTCGGACACTACTATGATACCCAACCCACCTCAGAACCTAACAACTATGGAACACTACCCAAACCGATTGCCAATTCGCGTTCGAAGCAGTCTAGGCCAAGCCTTCATTTTTTACGGAAACTCGTCGGAACATTCCCAGCCGTAATCCTAGGACTGATGATGAACGTGCTCGATGGCGTCAGTTACGGCTTGATTATGTTTCCTACCGGCGCTGGGATCACTACCTTCGATGGCTTTGGTGGGATCGGAATTAGCATGTTTTTTATGACCTGTATCGTCAGTCAACTAGTCTATTCACTCGGTGGTTCTGGTTTTCCCGGTGGTCAGTTATCATCACAATTAAAATTTTCATCCTTTTAAAATAAATGCATGAATCCTGATTACAATATCCAAGTTCATCACTAACAGGCAATGGTAGTATGATGATTGAGAGTGTACCGTTCATGCACGTGATTGCAAAGAAAGTTATCAAGGGGATTGGACCGGAGCATCCCGAAGAAATCATCGCGACCACTATGGTCTCGTTTGCCCTGTCTTCAATCCTTACCGGGGTGGCCTTTTTTGGTCTGGGTGCACTCAAACTTGGAAATCTGATGGGATGTAAGTCCATTTCTCGCTCGCATGTTTCCTGTTCGAGATCCAGTTCTCATCATAATTGGCTGGCAGTCTTCCCTAGGCATATCTTGGTAGGATGTATCGGCTCTGTAGGCGCGTTTTTGATGTTGACAGGGTGAGTGACCATTTTGCTTTTTCAGCTGATGATCCATGCACGGCTCAAGAGCAAGTAAAAGTTGACAAGCCTACTACCAGAATTGCGGTTACGGGGCATTTGGACGATGGCTTTTCTTTTTCTGGCAATACACTCCACCATCTGATCCACGCCAATATCCTTCCCTTATGGGTACGCTATCTTGTCCTCCTACACCCATCAAGCGGAAATGGCGAGTTGATCATCAAGCTGACAGCAAGGTTCACGATGTTTTTAGCTTGTTCCGCTCGGACTCGCTGTCGCCTTGCGCGTCTTGACATCCTTTTTCAACCAGCCATTTGTGGTTCCCACTTACTTTTTAATCATCCCATTTCTGTTCTACGGTATCACTAGTATGACTGGCATCTCACTTGACACCCTGCGCTCTACCGGATGGGTATTTGATATCAACCTATCCGAAAACAGTAGTCCCTTCGCCTTTTACTCGCTGTACAAATTTCACGCCGTCGATTGGAAAGTCTTGAAAACCACACTCATGGAGCAAGTTGCTATGGTGATATTTGGACTTCTGCATGGTGCGAATTGATCTCTGATAATAATCATTTCTATCATCTAATCATTGTGTCATTTCTTTGGATTGGTTCGATCCACAGTGCCCTTGAATGTTCCTGCATTGGCCTTATCGCTAGGCAAGGACGACGTTGACATCAATAAAGAATTAATTGCCCACGGGATCTCAAATACTCTGGCTGGATTGACAGGCACTGTGTCTAAGTGAGTTTCAAATCACAATCATGTTTCATTCTGCATTATTTTTGTCGACTTACCCACTGTCAATATAGCTATCTATGTTACGTCAACTCTGTGCTTTTTGCACGAGTTGGGGGAGATTCTCGTTTGGCTGGTACTGTGTTGGCAGTAGTGATGATGGGCGTTTTCGCCATAGGCCCTGGTGTAATCGCCTACCTCCCCATATGTGTAGTCGGTGCATTGATATATGTGCTCGGGATCGACCTTCTCAAAGAGGCTTTATGGGATACTTGGGGCAAAGTTAGCTGGGTCGAATATGGCACGTCAGTCACTGCCAGTATCCAGTGACACTACTTCTTAATTCGAGCTTTCCTTGCTGACTTTCCCTTTTAAACTTTGTTGACATGACAGCATCTGGGCAATTATCATTGCCGGTTTGTACTTTTATTTGTCAGGAACCGCCGAAATTAGTAAAGTATACTAATTGTTCATTTTTGGCATTCGTCAGCAACGTGGCATGACTTTGTTGTGGGGCTCATCGTCGGTGTTCTCTTGGCTTGTATGTCATTTGTGGTAACTTCATCCCAACACAAACCAATTCGAAGTGTCATGGATGGTTGCACTGCCCGATCTACCGTCCGGAGGCATCCGACTCAACATGCATTTTTGAAGCGAGTTGGAATGCAAACGTAAGCAGCCAGTCTGATCACATATAGATACCGCTTTCAATTGTCAACGATTCTAGAAGCAAATCTGATGTTTATAAATTAGCCGAGTGATCAAACTACAGGGTCATTTGTTCTTTGGCACGATTTCGGCGTGTGAACAGCTAATCAAGAATATTCTGCATAGCGCAGACAAGCAATCGATCCAGTTCTTGGTTGTAGATTTTAGCTCAACGGCGTCAATCGACTTCAGCGCAGTGGAAGCCTTCTTAAGGATCCATCGACTCCTATTGTCAAAGTCTATTGTATTTGTGATTTGCGGAACTGGGAATCAAGTCTCAAAAGCTTTGAGAAGTGTTGGCCTATGGAGCGGCGAAACGATTGAGGTGTTTGAGCATCTAAATCAAGCTCTAGAGGTTCGTGTCTCATCTTTCACTAACAGTACCCACACCCGTGTTTATTCTCGGAATATTTTCGTAGCACTGTGAGAACGTATACTTGAGAAATCTATATTTCCGTCGAGAATCCGACCTCCGAACAGCTCCACCCAATTCGCAATCCAGTTTGGGGGCTCCACGGGGTTCTAGCCCAGAGGTTACTTCCCCCAGCCGTAGCCCACGTCGGTCTTTCAGGACTTCAGCCTCGGCTCGAAAAAAAGCTTCTCCTAACACTGATTTACTTTCGCGTAAGATTGCTTCATTTTTTCGTTTGACTCTCCTATATTTGAATTCCAAACTCATTCTCATGTCCTATGTACATCAGGCTCTGTTACCGATATGGATACCGATGCAGCCAACATGGCCCGGAGTATTCTACAGCCTCTCCCGCTGCTCTTGCAGACTTTTAGGCCATTTTTGCCAGATCAGAATGAATCATTTTGGCTGCAGTTAGTGACTCCTGACTTAATCCCTCCCCGTCGGAAAGAAGTTCGAGCCGCTCACGTTTTTGAATTGATGCTCTCAGGATCTCCCCGTACTTTCAGCGAGTGGAATTCAGACGAGAAATGCCCATTTGGAGGATCGGTGCAAAGGCAGATTGGTGAGTGTAAAAGCGTGCGGGCTCTTGAATTCAAAAGATCGCCATGAATGGTCACAGCAGATAATCTGACACGTTTGAATAGTTTCTATCTCATACAGAGTGGGATCTTGAAAGCATCTTATGCATGGCCTACTCTATTACCTTTGAAGAACGACTCCTCAATGGCCACTCAATCACTTGAGCGGAAGCATCAAATCGAGGAAAGTATGCTACCTGGTACAGTAGCTGGGGACCATACGTTCCTAGCCCAACTGAATCGCAATACGAACGTGACGGCGGAGACGGATGCGGTACTGTGGAAAATGGATCGCACATCATGGGCCAAAATTGATATCAATTCACGCGAAATCGTCGGTATAGGATTGTTGAAGATGGCCGCGGTCGAAGAGGAAGTTTTAATCGGGCATCTGTTCACAAGGTTTTAATCAACCTCTCCATGTTGCAAGATCGTTATCTGTCAAACTTACAAGTTGTTTCTCCTCTCATAAGTAAATTGAAATCTGTTCAGCTTGGATTGGCCCCGTTTCTGAATATTCCAGTAGCTCTTTAGCACATGTAGCATCGTTATTTCTTCTTGAAACTTCTTTTGAATAACCCATCTCACTGCATAAGTGGTTTGACTCGAGCTCAAATCAATTGTGTTTTATCTACATTCCTCAGGATATATATCAATCAATACTTGATAGCTAAATTTCAGAACTTTAGCTCATGGTTTACTTCAGGAGAAATTGCAGTAACTTGAATCAAATGTGAAATTCACATGATCCAAGCATTCATAAACTATCATGACTTGTTGAAAGTCGTGCTCCTAAGACGGTAGTAGTTGGAAGATGATGCATAATTCTCCCCTAAAGGTCAGATACTTTTGATGTCATTTTGCTAAGCAAATCTTGCCTCTTTGAAAGTCTTCCTTGGATGTAACCAAGATGAAACAGTACTATCAAAGTGCAATTCAACTTATTTGGTGCACAATTGATGGTTCCAGATCCTCCATGAGATGTGGCATAACTACTTAGACTCCAGAATCTGGTCTGTCCAAGTTTTTGCTGTACACATTGGAGGACTTCCCGTCACCATTTAGAGTGCTTTTTAAGCCCTCCCCAGTTCTAAATTAACAACTCCATCATAATTCCAACCAGCTCACATGAGAGCTATCTTCACAAGGCTTGTGAAAAAATAATTTTTTATACCTAAAATTAAGATCTAGGGGGTGTAAATTGAATTCTGGGAGGGTTGTAAACCGCGATGGGAAGTCATCCATTGTATGCAATGATCATTTGTGTTTGATTAGGAATGTTACAACATGCTTAAGTTATTGATCCACTCAAAACAAGCTTGCTAAGTGACAATGATATCACAAAATCCAGCTTTTCTTTTTTCTTCTATGTCCTTCTTGTGCTTAGTAATTGCCATCTCCTGTTATATCTATCATAACCATCAAAGGGTATGGCAATCTTTCCTTGCTTCTTCCTTAGACTGCCATTTATAAACAATAAATCTTGGTGCAATGCTCCATAATTGGATGAAAAATAATCAAAATATGCCAATCCATGTGTCCAAATTAACATGATCAAGACCAGGAAACCTGATGTTTCAGATAGTGTTGCCATGAGAATGGGTATACACAACACAAAAGTTATACAACAACTATGACATTCTTTCTGCTAGTGATCAGAAATCTTGTGCTAGGCACCTACATACACATTGGATCATTTGGGATACTTTTCCCTTCCATTTGTACATTGAAATGATTTAAACTGGTCATATCTATTACAATTCCAAACCAAATATTCTGATTCTGTAATTAAACTTCCATGCTTTAATCACTAACAATTTCAGTGTTGATTTCATTGCTTGTTTTTGTTATTCATTTGATGCTAGTCTTAAGTCTCTAGTTGGTATATTCATTGAATTGATCTTCAGCTAATGGAATTCAGCACTTTGTCATCTTGATTTCCCATTTTGAACATCTTTGACTGGGGCCATTCCTCAAAGGACTGTGCATTTATCATGGTCCATCAGCTCCCAATAAAAACTGCATAAAAAAATACTTCTGTCACTTTGATTTGTGCCTCTTTTTCCTGAATGGCCACATCAAATCAGATGATATTGTCTAACTCTCAATATGGACAGTGAAAATGTTGAAAACTTGATGACTGGAATCTCCTCAATTTTTTGATTCAAACAGCTCATCACACAGGGTCTCTGATTTCCCACATCAAACAAATGGAGGTGCACAAGTCCCCAGAAGGGCCTCTGAAGCAGAATTGAACCCTGCTCATTCATTTGTATATACAGTTTATGTAATTTCAAATTCTTTATATTGTGGCTATTTTTTACGTTTAATTTCAAGGGATGATGTCTGGGGTTGATCCCAGAGAACAAGATTTTTGGAAATTGTAGTATTTCTCTTATTTTAAGAGGCTCCAAGTTTCATATTCAAAAGATTTGTCCATCAGTCTGTAGGAATTTGAGATCAAGTGCTTTATTGAAGCTGATATACCAAATGCTAATAGTAGTACATAATAGAAATATTTGAGAAATAAAGGTGAGCAAAGAAAAAATAGACAGAGATTGAAAACAAGATGCTAAATGAGAAAAAGAATGAATTCATTCAGTAACTTCAGATATTCTTGTCCTGACTTTGAATCAAAAAATGGACACACAGAATTTTGGATAGGAGATAAAAGAAATAACAAACAAGCCCGAGGAGAATGAAAAAGATCAATAATTGGAATAAAAAAAGTATGAAATAAGAGAAAGAAAGAGATAAGAGGAAACTGGGTTCAGATATTCCTCCACTTGAGTTATAACCAAGCTCCTCCTGAATTCTGTTGGTCTAGCAAGTGGTGAGGTGGTACAAGAATTGAACAGATTGGGTGTTGATTGGCAGTGGATTAAGGAAGATTAATATTCTTATTTCAATGTGAAAAATATTTACACAGTCTATCATTTTGGTTGGATTTCACAATGAAAATTGGAAATATCAAGGAATGAATCTCAATTATTCGCACAATCATTTTTATATTGGTAATCCTAAGTAATTTCTGCAGATTTTTGTGATGCTTTTCCCTTGCTTCCTTAATTCTCTAGTGTCTGAAATAGAAGACATAGAATAATGAAAAAAAAAAAAATCAGGCCATCTTGGTAAACTAGTGTTGCAAGTAAATTCAAATAGTGTTTGTTCAAGATACTCACCTGGTGCAGTGAGATCACATACTGCCAAGTTGAAACTGCATTCAGAGTCAATTTTGATTGGCTTTGACCTGTTTATATTGATAAATTGGGTAACAAAAAACAAAATTGGTTCCTATTTGATATGATCTATTTGTTACAACTTGGTACCACAAACAAAAAAGGTGACTCACAAATTCCACACTTCTGGTTGAAACTGTTTAGTATTAGATTGACATTTCCATGCCCTTTCAGTCAGAAACTTTGCTGTGAAATTATACTTCTCAAATACTAAATTGCCATTGTAAATTTCAGTTTTCAGTCTGTTTTTTTTCTTCAGTTGAACTATTTTCATCATGCTTCATGGTCATCATTAGAGGTAACAAAAACACATGAGAATTCAACTAGTTTAATTAGGAGCTCTCTGAAAGACCTGGATTCAAAATTCCCTCACATATTATCCGCATTGCAATAAGACAGTTGATTTTTTTCTGAAGAAGCACCATTTTCTCCATCTCCATCGCAAGGATCCTGTGCAAAAATAGTATCTTTGTAAGTCAGTCCTCTTTGATTTTAGTGTTAGCCTTTGTTTCAATATAATTATAAGGGTAGTGGTAACGGCTTACACTCCCACGTAAAATGAAAAATTTCTATGGTTGCCAATTCAAAATAGAAATGCGAGCTAACATCAATTGCTCGATTCGTATGGCTTTGCTAAATTGTTGCCCAGTGAGCTTGGATGACTAACTTGTTTTTCCCAAATAGCAGCCAAGAGATTCAATTGAATCGATAATTTCATCTCACTTTGTTGACCTGCTGCAAGGTTGACAAGACTTTGGCAATGGACATGATCTATCAGAAACGCCCCATCTTTAAGTACGCCGTAAATTCCCTGATCTGTGCTGATCCCAGAGCTAATAATCTCCTCTGAGTTTTGAGTTAATTTGCTTTGGATCAAGTCTTGAGTTTTTGACAGCTGGTAAATGAAATAAGTCCACTAGCCAAAAAAACAAACCCCCGATTGGGTTAATTTTCGGACAAAATTTAGACGTACTTAGAAGGTTAGAACCCTACCTTATCATGTTGGTTTACCGGATCCGGAATGACTGCGTAATCCATAATGTTGGCTTCCCCAGCTGTCAATCCGATCTGTCCCTGGACTAGCTGCATCCACCATTTAGTATTCGATATATGCCCTTCCGTTGGGTGCACTTTGGCACAACTCGAGAAAAACGTCAGGTACGCTTTGGCGATAGCCCAGTCATCATGCTCGTCAGGAAAGAAATCTTTTATCTAAGCTTGACAAAAGGATGCATCCGATGCGATTTGGTTTATTGCATTATAGTTACTTTCGTGGAACCCGGGTGAAAAGTAAAAAAAGTAAAAATACTTACCATTGATGGAATGATTCCTGTAAAATGAAACAGATTTCAAGAAAGACCAAACTGATTAATTCACCTTATCGTCTCGGAGGATTCGAAGCATGGAAAGAATTACGAAGTGCATTTTCTATTACCTTGCATCATAGTCATGGCAAAGCCAACGGCTTGATATACCACATTCATGTAAGAGTTCCACTCTTGCGCGGCGACCAAGACATACCAGTCTTTGCCTTTCACTGGTGAACATAGCTGGATATGACGTGTCATTGTCTCTGTCGTATTACCCGAGGAAGATGTAAGCTCTGAGCTTACCTGACCAGCATAGCATAACTTATCGATTCCACAATCAAAATTTAACAACTTAGATTTAACTGCTAAATCCTGCGATTTACGAATAATAGGGACCAATATCATTAGAAATTGAGGTGGTGAGAGTACGTATTGTCACAGAGCTTAAGGCCAAATTGGTACCTCAAGACTCGTTTCCTGTCCCCCGGGGTACTGAAGTAAATATGTGTTCAAATTTAGTTTGGACCACAACGCCGGCGAAAGTGTCCTTGGCTGGCAGGCGTCCCTGACGTCACTGTCGTGTGGATTGGTCAAAAGTTTTGGAGGTGCCAAATTTTGAGTAGTCGCACTCGCATTGGTAAGATCTATGTCGGTTTGATTATTTGCTCTTGAGGTGGCCTTTCTGTTTTCGGACTCATCGTGCAAGACATCATCAGCGGTAGAAAAAAATATCGAATTGAGCACAAGACCCCAATACAGAGCTATAGACCAGGAGTATGCCTTGAAGCTGACGGCTTTCATGTTGATTGACTGATAGCTTAGGTAGGTGAGAAGCACTTGGTGGTATCTCGATTATTACTATTACCGATTAATGCAAATGCAAATGCACGCCCATGGCACAAGTTCATGACTGATGTGCTTCGCAAAAAAAAAGGCTACGTGCCCCACGTGGGCACACTACATAGTCCGTGGAAGCATCCAATGGACAAATACAGGTTGCCGTTGATGACATCTTTTAGATTTTCATGTATGTTTGTATATGAAGCAGTGGTAAAAGAAGGTCGAACCCGATAGGTGAAACGTGTGCCACTCAACCCCGGAAGGAAGAGGCCGGCTGCAAAGTACGCAAAGGCGTTGAGTCCCAGACAGGTCTCAGGAGTCAGGCTGGAAGACGAATGGGTTCTGGTCCGACCACAATCACTCTTCGCCCAAACTTGTTGTCTCGACGGAAGTCCAAGGTGGACCTACCGCGGTACATCCCGCCAGTTAGGCGTAGAATGACGACCAGGCCATGACCCGGGGCCGGAGCTTGCCGTGGTTTGATCGAGTCCTCCAGACTGGAACTCATGCACTAGTGAGCAATTGCAAGAATGAAGACCCGACAAAACGATGCTTCTATGTGCCATTGTGGACTGATAAACATTACATGTGCTTCGGGAGAATGTCGCGACAGCATCGCCCAGAACAGTGGTAAAAATGCGAGGGAAGTTGTAAAACTCTTCATGAGAGAATCGAGCCAACACATACAGCAGCTGAAAACAGTCAGCTCAGGTGTTTCATTCAAGACCATACTTACTATGTTCAACCCCATCGATTACCCTTGAAGTTATTGGCATGGACCCGGTCCATTCTCTTCGAACGACTTACCTCATAAACTGCCATCCGTATTTCCTTCTTCATCTGTTAAATAAGGCTTCAACCCCTGACGCACGGAGCACTCTTCACCGATTGTCAGAATAACGCTACTGGAGCAACAACCACTATGTCCTCAGGCGTAGAGACAATGTTCAAAATTCGAAAGCAAATGCTGGTTAGGTCTTACCTCATTCCTGGAATGTGCATCTTCTTCGGTTGGACAGCTGCATTCCATCATCCTCCGAGTCAGATTCAGCTACAATCTACCTGTGATCCATTACCGTTTACTCAAGACACATGGCAAAAGTTAAACTTGGACAAGTACATCTCGGCATACCCCGGTGGTCAGAATTTAACAGTAAATGTTAGTCAGTTCTCTAGCCCATCTACTTAAAGAATCACACACCCATGCTCACCAAACCCTTGCTCTACTTGACCAGGAGTACGCCGCTACCGTGGGCGCCAAGAATTTTCAATGTGGCATATCAGAATGGTGCAATGCAGGCCAGGTAAGAACCAATGTGATAGTAATGCAAAACTCCATTTCTTACTGAAATTACTTTTCACCTCAGATGTGTCATCCAGTCAAGGGTTTGGATTGGTATGTCTTGTTTGCAATTCAAGAGTGGACCGAGAGAATGAACAATCTTTACGCGGCGATTGGTTTTACCATGTCTCTAGTCCAAGGTAACCTTCAAACAAATCTATAATAAGTCAGACAAATACTTACCAGAAGTTGGTCAACCTTTGTTATTTCAGCCAATCTGCTCAGTATAGTTTCAGCATTGTTCCCCCAACCTGACAACCTCCGGATCTTCTCTCAAAAAACCCATTTCGCCATGGGTGCCGCACTTGCAAGCTTGGTCATCGGCCTTATATCTGTAGTGTTGGTCTTATCTGGATCAGTTTCAATAGTTGCAACTTGGCTTGCGGGTCTAGTCTTGATACCATCCACAATTGTTAATGTCGTTTCGGTGACTACACGTTACAAAGAAGTTCCAAAGGATGCCTTCAGTTTGGTAAGTTTTCACTCGAGATCCTCCTTGATCCATAGTTTCGCGTACATTCTAACACGCTTTACGATCTAGGGCTCCGAAGTGAATTACCAGATTACCAGCTACCAACAACAATTGCAAGAGGCTCTCAGAAATCAAACTCACTCCCAGCTTAACGCCGGTGTCAGTTCCCCTGGGGGTATGGCCGGAGCTCTGTCGGGAGGCTCTTATCTCGACCCCAGACAATTTCGAAGTGTCGAACAGATAGAAAATGAACTCAAGAACATTACCGTAGGAGCATCTGTAGCTCACATTCTAAAATCTTTGGTGAGTCTGAAACCCACACGGAGTGCATACTTGGTTGAAGTATAAAGCTTGATCTGATGATGATGATTGTGATGATTCCCTTGAATATATTCGTACAACCAATCCTCCGTAGAATGCGTTTGTGACAATCGGAAGCGTAAGTTTTAGGGTTCCTTCCCTTCCATGCAGATCCCCTTTACTGATATTTTTATAATTCTCTTAGGACCCTTGCAATGGTGGTGGAAAGAACGGCGCATGGTCGGGTGATAATGTGCTGTCTTACTGCAACTCAAACGGCACGTAAGTAACTTCCCAACTGAGCATCGGAACATCCATTTGCCAGAACTCGAGCCAAGTTTTAATAAAACAATCTGTACATCCCCACAGCATGTTCAATATTATCACAGTCTCCCCACGAAAATCTAAAGTTCAAAACCACATTCCAAATGCTGGGGTTTTATCAAGTAAATTTGGAATCACCACCGAGTATTTGACGTCCTCCGCAATTGAATGCCAACAAACGCGAAAGGACTTAGGAATCGCGCACACAAACAACACATTGAGGTAAGATTCATTTTCCCAAGCCCATAATGCACGCCTTGATACGAGTTCAAGAAACAGTTTCTTCTGAACGAACCGTCTATATTGTTGGCTAACCTGAATCGCATTATTCCGTCATCGGTTCAACCAATTAAATATACAGCACCGTCGAAAACAAGGGCGCGCAAAAGTGTATCATCGATTTACCAGTTTGTGACTGTAGAAGCCCAGAATTCAAGAAAAGGAGAAAACATGTTGGAACAGTCAAGGCATGCCGAGAAGCTGGGGTACCCATCTGATCCTGATTCGTGAAAAAATCAGAATTTGACCATCTAGGAGGCCATTTTTTTTCTTCGTATTTTTAAATATTTTATCTTTCAAGGAAAAAATCTAATTTTACCTACATTGCAGAACCTTTTCCGTTTGAATCGTAGAATGAGTAGAATTTCATTTTTTTTCCTGATGTTTTGAAGGTATTGAAACCATTTTTGTTTCACACCATCTTGCTTTGTTTCTTCCTTCACCTATTTTCATTAAATTCCAACAAAAAAACTATTCTTCAATCTACACTTGTGTTTTATCATGTGTGGGCACCAGTACATACTGTGGCAACAATAACAAAAATAAACAATTATGTACATGTGAGAAATCTTCAGCGAGGCAAAATTTATCAGCAGCACAAGTTTTTTGTATTGAAAGCCACACATACATTTTGGTTTTATTCACTGCTCAGTGATGATCATGAGGCAAAAAATAGCAAGTGCATGACTTTCAGAGGCCCAAAGTTTTGCTAACACCACAAACATTTTGAATGCATGGAATCCATCTCATCCATGTATGCTTGATGGTTTAATTTTTAAAGTGTCTAGTATAAGCTTAAATATCTGCAATTTATAAG